AGACGGATCTAATATGTATAAGTCCAATGTTTTAGAACCCTGTTTACTTGGACCCGGGATAATGCAACTACATACACGTGACGTATTTCAATCGATGGGACGTGTTTTTTTTTTTTTTTTGAATTAATTATAATTAATAATATAATTTATAATTTTACTATAAATATAATCGTGATGAAATCCTGCCAACTATCACCATCTGCGACATTTCGACCAAACTCTGCCGATTCCAAAAATTCACGTGATCGCCTTTGGATTAAAGTAGGTCGCCACCCACGAGCCGAGACCTGGGCAAGTCGGATCGTTGTGGATTTATACAACTCATACGGAAAAATTAACATTGAATAATAAAACCCGGACGCGCTATGAGGTCAAAGAAGTTATATATATATATAAATTATGAAAGTTTTCGCTGAGAAAGCCAACAAGCATGACTAGGACAAGAGAAGTAAAATAATAAATAAGTGGATAAATCAATAATACACGCATACACATACAAGGTAGGTACAAAAACAATGAAATGTACTTCCCACCGGTCCCTCTGGACGGTTACTGGGCGTATATAATGATAATTATAAAAATAATAATGATATAAAACACAAGAATACCGGCCATAGTGTATGAAAAAGCAAGGAAAAATAATTATTAAAGGCTACATCACCGGCCACAAATGGTGACCCTACCACGCTGCCCGACAGCGCAGCGACAAAACCGGTTGTCTACTCCTCCATGCCGTGGTGCTATCGGTGGGTTAAAAATAAGTGTCATCAGTCATCACCCTCCGGCTTCGTCTGTCAAAAACTCACGTAAAGACGACGAGTGAGGCAGACAGTGGAAGTAAGAGAGATAGAGAGCATTATAGGTAATGTTTAAATTAGTCGGCCGATATTCTTATTCACGGTATCGGTCGAGTGTGCTCGGACCTTGGAGATTGCAAAGTGGGGAGCGCTCGCCGGTGAGGAGTTTGATCGGTAGATTTGAACCCTCGGGACAAGAAACGCTTTCACACATACACGGAAATATTAATTAAATGAGCTATATATATATATTAAATTGTGAACCCAATTCTGGTGGTCACACAATTTTCACTAATTTTTATAATACAAATTTCAAAAAATTTTAATGTTTTAAATTTTTTTAAATTTTTTGGAAAGTCTCTAACAACAATTTTGAACAAAATAATTGAAATAGTAAATTTAATAAGTATAAGCTCTGAACAGAATAATTTTAAGAGTAAATCCAAATCATATTTTTAATAAAAATAAATAAATTATAAAATTAGATGTAGGTACGTATGTATATTTAGTTAATTTAGATTAACATTAAAAATCTATTGTTCAATTTAATAAAACAAATACACATTTTAAAGATTGCCAAAATATTTATCTGGAATTTTGAAGATAATAAGCTTCCTTTTGATATTATTATCAAAGTTGCTACTAAATTTAGATTTTTATTTTCCCAATTATATACAAATATTTTTGAAAACATTCAATTTTCCTTGTGTTTGCATACATTGAATGTCTTGATCAATGGCTTTTCAATGGAATTTTAAATTTATACATTTTATTGATTCAGATTTGTTGTTGAAAACTATAAATGTAAATTGTAATTAAATAATAATACATTTTTCTGAAATTTGTGGAATGAAAATTAGTTTAAATGCTTTCAAATTTTCAATATAAGATAAGTGTAACTAAAACATTTAGGAAAGAGTACGTGCTCAACTTGATCTAGATTTTACAGAAGGAACACTAAATTTAGCTTTTTTTTCCCAATTCCAAACAAATATTCTGGGAACCAATATAACTTGCTTGTGATTTAATTATATTTAATTATATTTTGAAGAATAAATTTTTAATTTAATTTTTTAAAATTATTTTATGAAGATTTGTTGTTGAAAACTAAAATTGTTAATTGTAATTGAATAATATTAAATTTTTTTGGAATTTGTGGAATGAAAATTAGTGAAACTGCTTTTTAATTTTCAATATAAGATAAGTGTAACTAAAACATTTATTAAAGAGGAAGTGTTCAACTTGATCTAGATTTTACAGAATGAACAAAAAATTCTGAAATTGCTACTAAGTTTAGATTTTTATTTTCCCAATTAAAGACAAATATTTTGGAAATATTCAAAATTTGCTTATGTTTTTATAAATTCAATATCTTGAAAAATAGATTTTCAATATAATTTTAAATGACTAAAATTATTTTATGAAAATATGTTGTTAAAATCTAAAGTAAAAAAACCTTTAAATTATTAACATTAACATTTTCTGCAATTTGTGGTTTAAAAATTATTGAAACTGCTTTTAAATTTACAATATAGAATAAGTGTAACTAAACAATTTTGAAAAAAATACGTGTTAAACTTAATTTTGTTTAATTTAATGTACCTATAATTTAATTATTTCCATTAAAAATATGATGTGAACCTATTCTTAAAATTTTTCAAAAAAAAAATGTTTGTACCTATTTCATTATATTATTCCGTGCAACAATAAGTAATTTTAAATTTATATTACCTATGTTTAATTATATTACATGATGTTCATCAGTCCGCAAATAGGTACATATATTAGGTACTTAGCTTCAGTTAAAAAGAACGACTCTGGGAAGATCAGGAAATTTGATAAAAGGAATAATTTCAACGTTCAAAAATAATCGAAGTGCTGAACATTTTTCCTTTTTTTGGAATGATTTAAAAAAAAAATTGTTGTCAACATAACATTTCAATTAATATCACATTACAAGGTAATGACTTACCTACACTATAATGTTATACATCAGTTTAAAATGTTTAAATGCAGAAAATACAGTTTAATGATGTTAACAGGATTTAAAAGACTCAAAAATGAACCAACTTACTTAAGTGACCATGATGTAACTGTTTCAACAGCCACAGAAGAGACTAACAATTGTTTGAGCGATGACTATTTGGATAAAAAATAATATTGGAAATTAAACGCGTTCAATGTCATCACGGACACAATTATTTCCAGCATGAAAATACGATTTTCCGAAGAAAGTTTACGCCTTGCTACTTCTGCTAGTAGACTAATGTAATTTGATAATGAAGGAAGCTCATTCTTGGTTGAACATTATAAGGTACGTTAGGTAAAATTTAGTATTTACAATTTAAAACATTTCATAGTAAAATGTATTTTCAGGATATATTAAACATTAACGAAAATAATTTGAAAAGCGAAATGTCGGAGTTCAAAATTGTTATTATTGGTGATAATATGAATATATTCAATTTTATAAAAGAAAATTTGAATAAAAAAGTGTTTCCGAATTTGTGTTTAATGGTACAAGTAGCTATTACCATGGGCGTCCCCAGGGGGGGCAAGACGGGGCACTTGCCCCCCCCTGGAATAATGTTATTTCCACAGAAATTGGTAAAATTCCAAATGATAAACAGTCACTAAGAGCGAACCATGAAACTGAGAGTTGTGAAGATTATTACCGGAGTTTCAATTTTTATACCATATATTGATTCAATTTTACAATCTATAAAAGAACGTTTTGATAAAAAAAATGATAATGCATTTTTACTACAATATCTTCACCCCAACATTTTTAAGAAATTGGAGAAAAAAATGTATTTTGAAAGCATTGAAAAAATTGCTGATTTCTATAAAATTGATAATCTCCAAGCTGAAGTGGAAAGTTGGTACAGTTTTTGGCAAAATAAGGACTGCCAAGATATTAATTTTACCGTAACTGTACGTTTTTTCCAAATATAGCTGTTGCTTTGGAAATATTTTTGTCTTTTCCGGCTACAAGGTGTACAGCAGAACGTACTTTTAGTACATTAAGGCGTGTTAAAACATGGTTACGATCAACGATGGGCGATGATAGACTGAATGGAATATGCATGTTGAGTGTTCATAGAGAAAAAGTAAATTCAAATAAAGAAAAATCTATTGAAAATGCACTGACACAATTTGGTAGAGAATGTCCACGGAGATTGAAATTTATATTTAATGAAAAAGAATGATGTATAATAATATTTTTTTATGTTTTAATTGTAATAATAATAATACCTAATTGTAATATTTTAATTCATAATTTTAATAATGACGAAATGTAATAATTTACTATAAATAAAAATGTATAAAAAAATTTTCATTTATTTTTTAAATTAATTTTGCCCCCCCCCCCTAGAAAAATGTCTGGGGACGCCCATGGCTATTACTTTGCTGATTTCATTTGCCACATCAGAACGCTCTTTTTCAGCTTTGAGGAGGATTAACACATACTTACGCTCCACAATGAACCAAGATAGGTTTAGTAACCTATCAATACTTCATATTGAAAAAGACAGTAAGATTCAAATTGAACAAATATTTAAAAAATGTATTGATAAAAATAAAATAAAAATGAAACTTTGCATAAATAAGTATTTGTTGGTGTGTTTTTATATTTTAAAGTGAATATATGGTGGAGCGACGCCCCCACGTGTTACTTTTCATGTATAGTCAGATGGGGGCTACCCCCCTTAATTTGTAGAAATCGATATTGTTATTTGTAATGACTATCTATGTTACTAAATTAATATCAATTATTGTTCCTTAAGTTTTGGTAAAGTTTGGAATTCACTTACATTAGTTACATTGTAAAAATAATTTTTGTTTCAATATTTCATAAATAAAATGTCAAAATAATTTTATACCAATTGTTTGTACTAGCTTATCAGAAGTTAATACAAATTATGAGTTCTGCTGTTTGTGAAGGGTTAGAGTTTGCTTACATTGTGAAATTAAATAATTATGTACTTGTGTAAATTATGTAAATAATTAAGGTATTTATTTCTATTTATTATCAGTAAATGATACATATATATATGTATGTATATAATTAAAGTAATTTAAATAATTATCATAAATAGAAAATATTATATTTAATCATTTCTTTTATATCCGACATTAAATTACATAATTTACATATTACAATAATTAATATTTAATAATATGTACAATACTAAAATAAATTTAATCAACAAATCATTTATTTTTGTTGTTACAAAAAAATTGTTGACATTGAATGCTTAACTTATATAAAAAATATTTAAAAGTTAAAATAAAACTAAACCATGTAATTATCGTTTTCTCCCAAGTCTATCATTTTCTTTCCCTTCCTCATTCCTTCTTGTAGATCTATCATTTTCCCTTCTGTCTTCATTTCTTCTAGATTTTTCATTTTCATTTCTTTTAGATTTGTCAATTTCATTTCTATTATGCCTGTCATTATCCTTTTTTTCTTCGTTCCTTTTTGGTCTATCATTTTCTTTTCTTTCATCATTTTTTCTAGGTCTGTAATTTTCTTTTCTTTCTTCATTTTTCTTCGATATATCATATTCATTTCTATCTTCATTTCTTCTAGATCGTTCATTATCCTTTCTTTCTTCATTTCGTCTTGATATATCATTATCTCTTCTTTCCTCATATCTTTTAGGTTTCTCATTATTTTCTTTCCTTTCATCATATCTCCTAGATTTATCGTTTCTTTCTTCGTATTTTCTTGATTTATCATTATCTTTTTTATCGTCATTTCTTCTCCAATTATCATTTTCATTTTTGTTTTCTTTTTGTCGAGGTATATCATTGTCCCTTCTTTCTTCATACCTTCTTGGTTTTTCAATTTCATTATTTGTCTGTTTTTTTTTAAGTTTTTCATTTTCCTTTCTTTCCAAATTTTGTTTCGATTTATCATGATCTTTTTTTTTTTTAATTCCTATAAAATACAAGAAAAAATATTAATTACATGTTTAAATTTATGTTAATATTTAATTTGAAATTATGTTATTTTAAAACATCTACAATAATTTATAAAACTATATTGGAATTTATGGTCTTTTTCTCATGGTTTATTTATTATGGCACTAACAGATTGCAAGGTTATTCCTAATCCTTTTAATTTTACATCAGGTGTTCCACAAGGCTATCATTTAGTTCCATTATTATTATTTTATTAATTTATGATTTACATTAGTAAAGTGATGCAATTACTAAGCATTCCATTCTTATAATATAGAATATACATTATAGATTGTTATTGGGCAATAGCCCATCTGAATAAATAAATAAAACATTCTTCATTAAATTTACTTGCAATATAAACTTTAATTATGGTATTTAAAACTTTTTAATTTATGAAATTTAACATTTATAACATATCTGAAAGCATGATAAAAATACAATATTGATGGTGATATTGCAGAATGGTATAGGTGACACTTTGGGTTTAAGCAGCATGGCTTATATTATTGGATTGAAAAATATAAACTGCCCATGGTGAGTACGCAAAATCATCACAATTTTAATGTTAAGTTTAAGGTCTAAATGACACTTAATATTTTGTCTTATAAAATATAGGGTCTTAACAACAAAAATAGGGAATAAACAACACAACCACAATTTTTTAGGGAATAAGTGACATGTATGGAAGTTGAATGGCGCTTGTCCGTAATTTCCAGTACTACTAATATTTCTAAATATATTATTATATTGTAGTACGACCGGCATTGATTTACAGCAATACTACAATCTTAATTGATATGTGAAGATTAAAACATCTCATTCACATTGGCCAGACTAGTAACTAATGGTAAACTAACTTTCACGTAAAATATTGTGTACTATTAAAAAGTGTTGTATATGCATTTGGTGTTATTTTAACCTTAGTTTAAAGGAGCACACAACACAAAAAATAAGTTTTTTTTATTTGAAAGAATGTTCAATTCTAAGGATGATGGTATAGGTTTTACGTTTCTACTCACATTATTGAATAAGTTATGAGCAATTGAAAAAAGACGTGTGACGTCACTGGGCCGGAGTTATCGTAATTGTCTATCTTATACATGTAAAAGTTCCTCGCTTCACACAACGATTTATCAACCTAAACACTTTATTTTTGCAATTTAATTTGCATGTAAATATGTGGTTTTATGTGTTTAAGACGATGCAAGTATCAGAATTGCAATACGATGTTTAATTTTTTAAATATTAAATATCTTAAAAGAGACATTTTGGTTAAACCGCACGTCATGGCGAGTGGCGCATGGGGTTCGAACAACGGGTCAGCCATTTAACCAAAATGTCTGTTTTCAGATTTTTAATACTTAAAAAACTAAACGTCATGTTGAAATTCTGATTCTTGCATCATCTTAAACACATAAAACCACACATTTATAAGTCAATTAAATTTTAAAAAGAAAATATTTAGGTTGATAAATCGTTGTGTGAAGCAAGGAACTTTTACACGTATAAGATAGGCAATTACAATGACTTCGGCCCAGTGACGTCACGCAGCTATTCTACATCTCTTAATATCTATTAAAGTAATATTTTTTTTTACATCGTATCTTCACAAAATCATTTCATATAACCATAACTACAATAATTTAACATTTAAAAAAAATTTAAAGAATTTTTTTATTTGTGTTATGTGCTCCTTTAATAGTATTTAAGTACAAAATAAATTCTAGAAATATGTAGTTAATTCAAAGAGACTGTTATAAAAGATTAAATTTATTTATTTTTATTTATTAACTTTGATAAATTAAGTCAAGTGAGAAAAAGCAACTTTCTATGCTATTGTTATTAAATTAGGGTCTTAAATAAAAATAACTGTCACTAAAAAACACAGTAATATAATGAAGATAAATGCATTAGAATCATCGGGTCAATGAAGTAAAAAAATGAGGGATAAGCGCCAAGATTATTGAATAAACTTATTCAAATTGCAACATACGCGGAAATAATAATCAAACGCTACAAAATATGTACATACAACAAGGATAATATAAAAACAAACAAAAAGTATTCTATGAAAAAATTCCCTGTTCTTACTGTAAAAGTTATAAATTGTCTAGAAAAAAAAGATTTAAATTATAAAAACAGTTTTTTAGTTCTCCTGAAAGCTATGAATTATGTCTCTTAGACTCTTTTGTCGTGTCACCATCATATTTCAATTGAAAAAAAGGTAAGTTTAAATTAATTCAAACAAATATTATATTATAATATACTGTTTACTGTTAAGTGAATGTTATTAACTATTAAGAGGCCATCGTGATAAAATAAAACTAATACAATTCTCAATAGATGGTGTTGTGGGGGGATATTCTGTTTTTTATATAGTTGAAATGAGTACACGTTTAAAAGGATGCTACATAGACATTTGCTGTCTCCGTCTTACAAGTGCGCAGCATACCAAATTGTACGCTCAGAGGATAATGTTTAGTTACATTAGCTTAACAATTTGAGTGAATTGATCTCATATAAAATTAAAAGATAGGATTAATATCTAAGGCATCTCATGGGCTTTTTAATATATTTAAATTTTAAGCGATATCAGTATTTTAAAAAAAATTGAAAATTCTTTGTACATCTTAGAATACTCATTTAAAAATAAAATATAATAAAAAGCCTATGAGATGCCCTAGAGGATAATCTTACCTTTAAATTTCATTCACACTATTTTAAAGGGTAACGGAGCTAAACGTGATCTGCTGAGCATAAAATCTGCTATCTTACGCATTTGTAAGACAGAGATAGCAAATGTAAGTGTAGTGCTCTCTTAATTTGTATACATTTTTTTTTCTTCAAATAATATAAAACAGCATAGCATAAAACTTCTACTTAGTTTGCTGTCATACTAACTTTTGTCGTTTGAACTATTACTACTGTTGCTGCTGCTATCGCTGGAACTACTACTGCTGCTGCTGCTGCTGCTGCTGCTACTGCTGCTGCTACTACTACTACTGCTACTTGAACTACTGTCACTGTCACTATCTGATGATTCCGATAGCTGGTCAATGATTTGAGCAACAGCAGGCACTTGTTTAGGTTGTACTTTTAAAAAGTCTCTCAATTCATCACTATAATACCAAATAATTTATTGATTAAATAATATTAGTAAACAATTAACATTTTAAAAATATAAACAAAAACTTACGTTAAGCCCCCCAAACCAATAGAGGTGAAAAAATTGATAGAAAACCTAGTATTTTTAGGGTTATCTTTGGGGAAAATTCCTTCAAAAGCTAGTTTTAATTCCCTGCAACAATCAATAATCAACAAATTATTTATATATTAGTAGTTAACAAACCTAAATTGAATGATTAAAATAAGTCTTGAAATATATTAAAACAATTTTTCTTACGGATTCTGAACTCGAGCATTCAATTTATTAAGTCCCATGTGTTCGGCTAATTCTTGGAACAGAATTTTAATATAAATTCTACTAGAAGAAGTTGTTTCTTCTTCATTTAGATGTATAGTAGATAAGACAACCCATGATATAGAGTCTGTAAACAATAAATGTGCAAAGAATCTTGCAACATTTCGTAATTTGTTTGTCTCTAAACGGTGGACAGTTGCATAACTGTCAATAAAAATTTTTTCCAATGGTTCAATAAACACATTATTTATTTGACAAAACCGCTGTAAATAGTTTAAAAATTAAAATTAAATCACGAGAAAATATAAAAATGTTCCAATGAATAACACTAGATTCTTTAAAGTATTTTTAGTTTCTTAACTATATTTTAGTTCAATATTTACTTGTGCTAAAAGGCCAAAAAACTTTTCATAGGTTCTTTGTTCACCACAACAATCCAAAAACATATGACACATTTCTATTTCTTGACCCGGTTTCAATTGCATTTTCATTAATTTATGAGCACATTCCTCATAATCCAATGATGAATGTATCGTTAAGTAAATGGTTTTTCTTAATGATATCATATTTGTTTCTGTGTTGTCTATGATTACTTTACCTTCTCCTTCTAAAAAATCAATACAAAACTTTAATAAATTATTTTTTTATATAATTAATAAAATTATTCCTAATCATTAAACATACAAAGTACACCTGCGTTAAAAAACTAAAAAATATTAATATTAAGATTACATAAAATCAGGGAGTACAAATTATCTTGTTTCTACATAATTCACATACATATTATAAACCCAAACATACTTTAATTGTGTGATTAAGTCAATGATCTTTTTTTCAAAGTTTATGTTAGTTAACATTACATTTATCAATAAGCTACTTTATTAATTTAATATATACAGTGGATTCCGCTTAATGTGACCACCGGTTAATATGGGCATCCGCTTATTGTGGGCAAACATGTCTGGTCCCAATACAAATGTATATTAACGATGTTAAATAAAACCGAATATTATGGACACTCGATTCGGTTTATGTGGGTAGTTTTATTTTATCATAGCGTTAGAATATACTCATATGTATTTAAAAAGGACAAATTTAATCAGGTTTCGTTGAATCTATGAGATTTTTTGGCAACCAGGCAATTGGGTAAGATACATTTTTTTTTTACAAATAAGTGTGACATAATAATATAAAAGGTTTAATAATAAAAAATGTCTAGACTAAATAATAAGAGTTTCAATTTTAAAGTTGTGTTGTTCAGAAGGTTAAATGAGTTTGTTCAATCCTGTCACCTGGAAGAACACGAATATGTTAGGTGATGGCACGACTGGTCCAAGTTTGTCATATAAGTCGGCGGATAAATGTTGCGGTTCCTTGCATCGAGGTATGCAAAGCATTTCGCGAGGATGTGTTTTATTGTGAGTTCGACCCCGCACGTCATACGTGAGGGGGGCTCATCTCAGGGCATTTGGTAACCATGAGTTATTCTGGTGAGACCTATTCCTAGTCTCTTGATTATGAATATCTATGAGATTGTGTTTATCGAAAGTATACCTTCTACATCCAAAGATTAATTTTATTTAGTATATTATATGTATTTAGTTTTATTTGTATACCTAGTAATTATTTAACATTTTTTCAATTACATTTATGATAATACAAATAAAAACTTTTTTTACTATAATTTTTTTTTTAAACCCGTTTTAAACTAATTTCGGTTTTTATGGGCAACCGCTAAATGTGGGCAAACAGGGCTGGTGCCGACGAGCCCACATTAAGCGGAATCCACTATATATCTTTAATAAAATTGGAATACTGACTAAGGATAATATTACTGTTAAAATCAATTAATAGAATTAGATAACAAAATACTTAAGTATCATATTTAAATTGTAAAAAAAAATTTAAGGGATGCATTTACAAAAGGTTTCAATTTTAATAACCTTACAAATGAATACACCAACTTGAACTTTTCGCCAATTTAATCATTTGTTTGAGAAATCAGAATTATTAAAAAAAATGGAATCACATTTTATTGTAGTTTTGGATTCTTCATATATGTAGATCGACAAATTTCAAGAGAATTTCAACTTATCCGCTATTAAAAATAAATTGAAAATTTTTAGAAATAAAGAGAAATCCTATAGAGCAGGACACTTTATTATATGACAATAAAACTAGTTATCAATTTAATAACAAATGATTAAAACATCAAAAATATTTGATATAAGGGGAGAGCATCGACTAAACACGTACCTTTAATTGGGATACTTATGTATTATTAAATTAATCAATGTTATTAAAGATTAAAACCAGTTTAGCAGCTATTAAGAGGAGAATACACTTGCATATTTTGTCTTAGTCTTATAAACTTACAACATAAAAAATGTTTGATCAGTACAGGTTATTTTGTGTTTCTAACTCTGATAGTTTTCTACTCCAAAGAAAACGGTGTCGGAATCTATTGGAAGGTTCAATCAGTTGTCTAACCGCTTATAATTAAGTTCACAAATACTTAAAAACAAGAAAATAAATAAATAATGTTGCACTTTATTACTGAATGGTCTCCCTTCTCGCATATGTTATTGTTGTTAATTTCTGTTTATGTTTTATAATTTCATTATTATTCCTCAAAGCATAGATGGTAAATATTCTTTGAAAATAAAAAAAATCTTTATTGTTAGAGTTATTTGGCCAGTTATCATACAATTTAAAGGTAAGAATATTATCTAGGGCTAATGTAGATTTCAGATTATATTTTAAGTGAGTTATGAGCATATTAAAATTATTGTAATATTTTTCATTGCTATAATAAAATTATAACGTAAAAGAATTACTTATATTAAAATTATAATATATGTATCAATACAAACGTATGATATATCCAAGACAATATTCTTACATTAACATATTTAATAATAGATTCAATTTAATATTAAGGCTAAAAACACAAAATTAATTCTGTCAAACCCAAATTGTTTATGTTGTATGTTGGGTTTAGTTACGTAAGGAAATAAAACATGCATGTAAGGCATACCCATAGACATAGAAAAACATCTTGACTTGGAAACGTGCTATTTTATGATAGAAGTAAGTGTTTAGCCATCTAAAATTATATAGTTCTCCGGTCTAAGAAAAACTGTGCAAAAACTAGAATAATTTAAAATGTACCATGGTTCATACAAAATAACAATCTTCACTAGAACTTCAAAATACCAACTAATTTCATTCATACACTAACATCAAATTCTAAAAACTGTTTTGTTATCAAGTGAAGCACATTTCTATGAATTCAGAATTTAACATACATCCTTAAGATTTTGCAGAAATTTATAAACCTAAAAAAATAGTTTTTAAGTTTAATTGCGTAACTCACCTAACTACTGTGCACAATTATTTTTACAGTATACATATAATATTATTGTTACACATTACTAATAGGAAAGATAACTTCTATATGAAAGTTAAAAATATAATACTAAGGTATAACTTGGCAATACAACTTAATTATATAATCATAACAATTTAAAAATCTAGAACTGTATTGTATATTAAATTTAACGATATGTTAACCAATAACTCTTAATTTTAATTGTATAGTAATTAAAAAAATATTGTTACTAATTCTGAACTGTATTGCTTATTTTAATTTATAAAACAGATATATAGATTATTGAATGTTTAAACTATGTACTTTGAAACTTATAAAATAACTATACATTTTAAGAATTAAAAGAAATAACATTTCATCACGCATTTAAAAAAAAAAATTATTTATAACTCATTAAGTTGTAATTAAATAATTAATTTATACCACTCAAAAGTAAAAATTGATTTTAATTTAAATAAAATTGTACCTTTTTCTTCACCATCGTCTTCTTCATTGTCATCATCATCATCATCGTCATCATCACCATCATTTTCTGAATCACTATCATCGTCATTGTCTGACCCTAATATTTCTGATCTTAATGACTTATAACGTTCTTCATTAGCTTCAAAGTCCGGATCAAATTTATATACATCTAAAAAGGGCAACTTTTTTAGATAAAATATTATTTCAGAATAAATTTATAATTACTGAGAATATCTTGAGGCTCTTTAGCAGAGTCTAAAGTTAGTAAATGTGTAAACTGATCCTCTTCAGGTACTAAATCGAGTTGTTCAATTACAGCTGGGTGATCTTTGAATCCATCTTTGCGAATTTGAAACATTACTTCTATCATATATTGAACCTATAACATTTTAACAGAATCATAAAAAAATTACTTAACAAGCATGCAGTTAAGCGCACAAATAAACAAAATATGCAACTACAAAAAAAAAAAATGAGTTTATTAAACATTTTTATAACTAGATTCGCATGTTTTTAAAATGAAAAATTACATTATCAAAGTAAGTTAATTTCGAATAAATAAATGAGTCTTGATAAAGATATGAAAAAGATATAATGAGTCCTCTTTACAATTGCAATTATTTTAGTATTCAAAATTCTAAATATAGTTGTTTGATTTTTGGTTTTTACATTAAAGTTGTTTGAAATTTGTTTCATACAAACTATGTTTACTTTAATAGTGCTTATAATTTACATTTTAATTTGTGTTTTAACAAATATTTTTATATGACATGAACCATGTATACTATGTATTTATTTACCCTTTTATCGAGTTGCCCATCATGTAATATATTGCGTAACATATCAAAAATGGCGTTCATTCCTTTTTTACTGACTTGACTCATTTTTTGGCCACATTCTTTCAAAAATGCAACAGCTACTTCTATTGAATCTTCAGTAGGTGTCTCTACAAATAAAGTTAACAACTCTAAAGCCAAAATTTCATGCGCCTAAAATACAAAAAAAAATAATTAGTAGTCATACGTATTGTTCAACATAAAAAATTCAAAGATTAAAACTTACAACACTTTGATTAATCAAATGAGCAATAAATGTTACTGATCCTAAACATTGGGATTTTTCACTTCTACGATATGCTCTTTTAAATTGTACAATACACCTTGTCAACAGTAATTCTCCTATGTTTGGAAACTAAAAATATATTAATGTAATTGTTTATTGTTTATTTGTTAATATGTTTTAATAACTTAAATTACTTTTGTGTTTATGATGGCCACTAAAGCAGCATACACATGGGTATACGTTGTTGAAGCTAATTGAGCTTGCATAATGGACCGGCATAGTAAACCTCTACCCCGAACAATATTCTCTCGAAGTAGGTCTCTAGTAACTTTTCCTATATTGTCTACATTAATCTTGTTGGTTAAACCATGTATTGACTTTTTCAAAGCTTCCCAGGCAATCCTTTGATATGCAGCACTAAAATTATCATAAATTTCAATTAAATGAAATGCAAAATTTAATATTGTTATTAGAAAAATGTCATTAATTAGACTTTTTTTTTTTAAATCTTTAGACAACATATAATTATTAAAAAAATATGGAAATGTTTAATGCCAGTGCTACAAATATTTTTATTTTCATATGTTATATGAAATGTGTATCAACCTTTTTATTTCAATGACATACTATATTTTACCACACAATAGTTATTACTTATCACTAATCATACATACAAGCCACACACATTAAATTTAACATAGTGGTTTAAATTTGACATAGTGGTTGAGAAATACAGGTCATAAACAGACAACCGTTTTATAAAACACATATCTGAAGGTACCTAATGTGCAGTTCTTATTATTATTTAAAATAGACAAATTAAATTAAATTAAACAAGCACCTTGATTTATCGGTGATACTTTCTTGCATCATTCTCAATTTTGCAGGTGGGATGTATGCACCTCCAGTTTTAGAGGTAAGTAGTTCCACGGTTTTTTTCTGATGTAATGGTACATCATTTATGTCACCCTAAGAAAAAAAAATATAATTCATATTTATCACAATTATTATTATGTTGATTATATACACATACATTTGGTTTTTTATCTTTATTTGCATATTTGTTCCAATAGTTTTCACTATTCTTTCTTTGAGTATCAGTTTCTGTAGAATAGTACCGTTGTCCAATTTTATCATCTTCATCGCTGCTTGTTTCTTCACCACTCTCGCGTTCATCAATCCCTGCTATTCCACCTGAATAGTATGGAGCCCCGATTTTTTCCTCTTTTTTGCTGTCTGCATTTCTAGATCTGTTTTCTTTCTCATGACGATCTCTACTCCTATGACGTCGTCTATGCCTAGACTCATCCTTATAACGATCTTCACCTTTACGGTTATCAGTAGTAGCAGCACCACCCGAGTAGTACGGATCACCAACTTTTAACTGTTCATAATTACGACTACCACCCTTGTCATATTTATCTTTCGTTGTCTGACGATCTCGACTAGTGTGTCTTCTTGTTTGTTTCGAATTTATATTATCGTCATCGTCGTCACTGTGGATTCTCTTAGAGTTAATAACTTTACACACTTTACTTTCCATGTCTAAAAAACAAAATATCTAAACATTAGAAAGTTCAGAAATAAAAATAACGAAATAACAAACTTACTAAGCTTTGTCAGGAACCAAATATTCTAGATTCAATCCTAAATCAAAAACAAAAACTACAGAATGTAATAAAACATAAGGAGCAGATAACATAACATAATATACTGTACAGACCGCAGGCGGGCCATGGGAATCGGACTCGTAAACAATGTGTTTGCAATGATGGAGTCTGATCGTATCAAAGTAACGTCAGTTGTGGTAACAACAGTAGTGATAACAACGGTAGTGATAACAGATACGCGCCCTTTTCAAGCGTTTTTGAATTAAATGATGATTATCTTATGTCGTTGTATAATACTATATACCTATCCAATTATATTGGCTGAAATATTAAATAAAACTAAAGCATTAAGGACGTTGTAGGAATTTTAGTAAACTATTTAATAATAATAATATCGTTATTTCCAACAGTAAGTTACATTTCATAATTAAAACAAATATACAATACTATTAAATTAATAAAATATAAGCCTCTAAAGAACATGATATCTAATAAGTATCTACCATTGATGAAAGCCGTAGTATTTTTAATCAATGCTAATACCTTTAATAAAATAATTATTAAATTAAACAAATATATTTAAAATTACATTAATTAAAAATTATATTTGTATACTCATGTATTCAAATGTTGTTGATAATTCATCAAGCATGTTCGCCATTTTTTCTCTTTAATAATGCGTTTATATCAACTATGATATTTTTAAATACCAGTTACCTACTTAGATTTTTTTAATTTTTTTATAAAAAATATAACTACAATTAATATTTTTTGAAATACAACATACCTATCTATAATAACTAGAATTGTTAAAAGAAAATGTTTTATTTTTTTTTTAAACATCCTATTACATAAAAAAAAATTGAAACTTCAGACACTATAAAAAAGCATGAATACACTCGTTTGATATTTTTTAATTACAGGAAAACAACTTACAAAAAACCTAGTAATTTTATATTCTCCAGTTGTTTTGACTTAAAAATAATTTTGGTAGGTATCATAAATCAAAAAAATTATAAATAAGTGAAAATTGAAGAAAAAGTAGTAATCGTGTATTTAAAATGATTGTATAAATATTTGGTGAAATTTTCAAGTATCCAAGGTTATTTATTTTTGAATTTTTAAAAAAATAACAAAATCGATTTTATTGAAAATGGCGGGTAAAATATATACACGCCTTTTCATACTTGTATTATAGTTCTGTACTTTTGTCGTGATTATATTGAAAAGTACGGACAATTTATAATTCGACTCGAACCTAAAGTACCAGCTTATTGTGGATACAATTATCTACCAGAAACTTTATATTAAGCACCTAAAAAAGTTGAAGATTGGAGCATTTTTATTAAGTCAAACAGCTTATTATGATGACAAACAAATAGTTACAAAAAAAAAATCAAATCACATAACTTCATTAAATCAAATATTTTTAATATTGTTTATTATTGGCTTTTTTAAAATATATTAAACTGTAAACTGATATTGCTCTTGGTGCATATTAAAAAACAATTATCTAAGTAGTTGAACGTTTATGTTTTTTTGTTTTTGTATAGAAATTATAAATTGAAGTACCTATTGAATGAACAACAATACCTATTTTTATTTAAAATAAATTGTTGTATGATATAAATTTATTTTTAAAATTTTTATGTTATCTGCTTTCTTTAGTATAACCATTATGCTTAAGAATAAAATTTTATCATTTTAAAATAATTAATAATTAAAATCTATATTTTGCTTATAATACATTAAGTATAAAATAAGTAACCATAGATTAATTATCGGTAATTTAAGACCGGATGTTATGAAATTTTAAATTGCAAAATATACATGCATACATGCACTAATAAAAGTCAAAATATGCAAGAAAAAATTGCAAAACATGCAAAATAAAATTTCAATTATTGTTTAATTGTATATTTGATATTTATTTTGGAGTGATAATTATTTATTTTATTAAAATTTTCATAAATAAAAAGTAAGATATATAATATAGTAAATATGCAATACAACAATGTAGTTTGTGAAATTGTAATTACATTTTTAATCATTAATAAATTGTAAAAAATATTTTATTAAAATTAAATAGTAGATATATTGGTGATGTTTAATGTAGTATTATTTTGGAAAAATAAATAAATGATCAAAATATGTTCCATGTTTATTTCTGTGAAATTATGACGGGGATCTATATATATATCTTATATATAAGAATGTAGGTACTTGTAGGATGATAAACTGTGTTCAACATCAACACTTGTTATTGGATAATATTTAAAATTGGTTACTTTATCCGGCGAATAATTTGGATCGGATAAATCGTTGAAATTAGTACTGTCACTGTTAATACTGTCAACATTTCTTTTGAAACCACAATCCTTTATTTTCTTTCAAAAGTTTTTATATTTTGTTTCAATTACTGTACTACTTACATTAGTAGAAAGTCCATTGACAGAGCTTTCCACTATTGTTCTAAAATGTTTAACAAGTCTACAAGGGACTAACTCATACAACCAACCTATGGAAGTTTAGTAATCTATTTTTAGGGTCCGAATATTCTTTGATATATTATATAAACGTAACTATAATCAGTTTTTTTTACTCAACACCTTATTGGATCGTTAGGTGTATATTTGAATGGTTGTTTGTTAAAATATGCAAAAATATGCAGAACATTCACTAACGTCTGCAGAATATGTAAAAATATGAATAAAAAATGTTTGATATTTAATCAATCAAGTAATGATTTGTGGACACTGGACACTCATTGACTGTATGTCTGTATATATTTGATGTTGAAAATAGCAACATGCATTTTATGCAAAATCCAGTCTTAATTGGTATAGTAGTTACTAGTTGTACATACATTTCAGTAGGTATAGACGTATTGTATAAGTAGGTACCTACCTACCTTGTACCTTCAATATTAATACAAAATAAAAATAACAATATTATAATGAAGTATAATATATTAATACAAAATATCTGTGTAAATTATGGGTAGGAACCCACAATTAGTATACCAAAATCGTTGAACTCAGTAATATGATTAAATTCTTCAAATTCAAATCGTGATAATACAATTCAATGTAATATTAGTAATAGGTATTATTGAAAACAACAATGTTGTGCCTTTATAATATATACTACAGTAACTTACTATAGGTACTATCTAATAGTTATAGCCTTATAGGTACATCGTATACATGCATCTATTTAGATTCTAGACCAACATTTATGCTTCTTTCTACAATAAATACAAAATACAAAATCAGCTTTCTCCGCGACGATGCGCTTTTACCTTATGGTACCTAATAGCTTGTATGTTTTATTGATCTTTAAATTTCAAACTATTATAATAATTTATAGTAAATTTATAATTCATATTTTTACGATTGTGATGATTAATTATTTATGCATTATGCACAACACATATAATAGTATATAACATATTATACAATATACATAGTAATATAGCCCCAGGGGTTGTATATACTGTATAATAACAATACATATTTCGCCAATATATTCTGTACCTATATGGCTATATAAAAAGCTAAATAATAGCATTCCGTTTCACCCTTGTAACAAGATAATGGAGGAATAATGACGCAGGACATATAATGGTCTGATTTTTTTTATATATATATTATTATTCGCACAGAGATCAGAATACCGTGACCGAATTAGGGGCGAAAACGGCTATGGCAATTTCAAGGAAGACTAGCCGCAGTTATATGCTCTTTGACTTTAATGTCGTACTGCTATTTCAAGCCCCATTTAGCTTCCTTTTTTCAGTTTGCTAATGAGAACCAGATTAATCCGAAGACTGCTGCACGAGTTCGGTAAATATGCTTAACGATCACACGCACTATTTACACGCGGTTAAAACGAAATTTTATATTCATCGAATCGATCGAAAGTGCAGCCTTGTTGAATGAATTAAATAATTCGTGCAAAACTATTAGCATATATTATATTATATATAAATGTATTTAAGCGTAATGCACGCAGCAGTAGTTTGTACTTTTGTAGTACATCTATACGACTCAGTGTTAATAATACACTGCTAGATCCTCCTCGTTACACCGACACTGTTATTTTTCAGTATGTGTCTGGTACACTGCATCGGCTGACTTGATGATACACGACTGTTATTTAGTGGTTTAATTTTTATTATTTTTTACAAAGTGACTTAATTCTTACGAAATGACTTGCACAACGTAGAGTCAAAATGGTTACATATAATATGTATAGCTTTATCAATATCCAACGCTGTAGTATAACTTCGTGAAATAACACAAAAACCAGAAAAACTTTATTATCTGTATTCATATATTATTATTACGCCTTTTAATTTTTAAGTTCTTTTACTGCACATAACTCTCTAGTCCTCGAAATGAGAAATCGACCCAAGTATCAGGTTTTTATGAAGGCGATTTGATACCTTATTCAGGCAAGTATAAACAATTTTCTTAGGCTTTATAACATATTATAGGCAACTGAAAGTGACTACTAATTTATTATCATTAACGTGTTTCAGACTTTAAAAGTTTAAGTGATGTGTAAAAGAGATAGTTACTAACTATTTATTTTTAGATGGTGAAATAACCGTTTTAAAAAATAATTCCATATGAGCCGTATAAGTTAATATTCTTTAATTTCATATTATGTAGAATATGTATTTGCTGTTTATATTTTCGATTATTATCAATCAATTTATATTTAAAATTCAAATAGGTATGTATTAATAATTATTAGCAATGACTACGTATTTTGAAAATAAGTTTGAATAGGTTTTTTTTATATATTTTGTTATTGTTATCTTTCACAATTATTGGCTTATGAGTTATGCAACTTTGAATTTTATAGTATTGTTAAATTTTAATATTTTTTAATATTTTGTTCAAAATCGACAATACAAGACTCCAATGAATGAGCAGTAATGTCCTCAATTGAGTATAATTGAGTATATTATTATGCTCAACCTATAAAAGTATGTTATAGTGATGTGAAATTAGGGAAATTATCTAAATATTTCCGGAGATCATTCTTAAAAACAGAGATATTTCGGTAGTAAGTAATTTTGTTTTTTATTTTTCGTTTTGGATTAAAAATTAAATTAAAGATTTTTTTAT